AAAAGAGTTAAACCCTCAGAAATAAAACATTTTCTTATATGCAGAATAATAAAACTTGCAGAACAAGTGCATAAATCGGTAATATAAAGTAGGCTATATTTGGGCTTCAGGATTCCAATGAATAGGACTACTCAAGGGTGACAAGAACGACAGAAAAGGTTCAATGATGATACATGCCCTTAAAAATCCAAAGCAACTCCTACAGGACTGTGTTGTTAAAAAGGTACGAGATGAAACAAGCCAGGGCATGTGGAGAAACATGAAATACTCAGCTGCTTCAAGACACAGATTACTGAGGCACAAGCTGTATGCGTCACTATTGAGCTCCATGGTTACAATTTCCAAAATTATCTCAAGCGTTTTTGGGATATACAGCTTTTTGTCTTTGTGTCTTTTAAAGTTCCTAACTTGACTGCATAGTTTTAAGAAAACAGGGTTAATCAGCAATATTACAGTGTCAGGAGTACATAAAGGTTCATAATTCAACTTTGTTGTGATTTCTTGATCTCTTACCTTGATTTCATAATTCTTAAAGAAAACATTGGCCTTGAAATAGTAGATTGCTTCATCTATGATGTCAGAATCTACGCCTGGAATAATAAAAAACCAAATGTTTTCATTAGACATTATCCCATTTCTTACACAAATCTTTATTGTTTTAGTACTGACCACCATTGAATCGTTAGAAAATGTCTCAATTACGTATACAGATGTCACAACTGCACAATTAAGAGACGTATAAATCAAAATGCAGAAGTTAGAGGAACGGTGCCACTTTAGTTTGCATTGTTCAGACCATATAAGGAAGTGAAGCTCAGTCATGAATCAGGAACTCAATGCATGCAACAACAACAACCCACATCTCTGCAGAACGCCCAAGATTATGTAGATACGTTTTTTGAAAAACAAGGATGAAGGAACCCTCACCGTCTCCTCTGGCTGGTCCCTTGAACTGTGTTTTGACGGGAAGCAGGGCCATGTTTCCCACCAGCCTGGTTTCAGGGACCATCAAGCTTGAGTGATAAGCCTGAAGAAGAAGAAGGAAAAAAAGACAAGTCCTGTCATTTTTGTCGAGTACGTTTGTTAATTTATAGTCCCCGGAATGAAAGCTGCTTTTCATCGGTGGTACTAAGCGTTTTATATACGTGTATATAAAATGCTAAACTCATTAAAAACAGTACAATGACAGAAATGAATTTGTGTACTGTCGCGAGTCAGCCACTAGCAGCTATGAAGCGAATGCTAAAGTAGCTAGCCTACTGTGCTAGATTTGTCTCGAGAGCTAATGTTAAAAGCAGATTCAACATCTAGTTGCGTATTTCTAGAGATTCTTGGCTCCTAACAGTGAGCTGAAAGCTTATATTTGTCGTTTATCGCACGGGATATACTCACCGGCATATTGAATGAAATATAAATCCAACTGCTCAGCAGGAAAAACGTACAGGCACCCCCCGAAGCCTCTGCTTCCGCTTGTTCCACCCTTCAGCTTTACAGGAAGTGGCCACGTGTCGTGTTGCGTTGCAGCCACGTGGTGGCGCGCGCAAGCTCTTTTTTTTTCCCCCCACCCCACATGAACACGTATTCATGTTTATGTTCCCCCCCCCCCACATTTAAAAAACACGGGCAAGTTGTCTGGTGTATGCAATATTTTATTTTAAAAATATATATTTTGTTTTTAAATCTATAATAAATCAACCAAAAGTCAAAGATTTACACGTGTACATCACTCTAAAATAACAAAATATGAAACAGAGGTTCCTTTAAATTTTATAAGTTATTTAAAAGAAGAAACAAAATACTTTTATGCAAGTCCAGTCCGTTTTTCAGAAATATTCATGCAATGAATATCAAACAGTAAAGTTGAACTTCATTTATGGCAAGTCATTTTTCCACTTCAGGGTTCAATTAGTCCTCAGCTGCTGACTTTGTCTTGAAAGATCTCGTCATAATTTAGGTTGGACTGCTCCTCGTCAACTTCCTGTCAATAGGGAAAGCATAAAAAGTCATGATTATATACAAATATAAACCCATACACACAATGCCTTGCATGATTATTCATACGCCCTTTCACATTTTATTGCATTACAACCATAAACTTGAATGTAATTTACTCAACTTTTTGTTTTTAAGTATGGTAACTGCAAACCTGCGTGTCCACATGAGCTGACAGTTAACCAAGCACCACTTCTTTCAGAGAACCAGCTAAAATGTATTCGGTAACACTAAGAGCCCCAATTTGAACTGTCTCGCCTAAATGCAAAATACCACGTTTGAAGGGAAGATGGATGAAACGAAATACAGGGCAAACCTTTAAGAAAACACAACACTTGAAAGTTTCAGAAGCATGCATTCTTTTTTTCGTTCCAAATTAATATACTACTTTGCCTTGGTCTACTGCCTTTGGACACAAATGTGAAAAGCTCAAAGGCTGTGAATTTTACATTGTTCTTGACAGTGACATCGGTTCCAAAGCTCTACTGCAAGGAACTGTGTAACAATAATTATTCATTTTCAGTACGTGTCCAATGTTTTGTTTTGTCGTTTTACCTTGGGCTCCTTAACCTCCAGGTCCTCTCCATACTGTATGGAGAAGTCAATGTGCTGCAGAACTATGTTTATCCCCTCCTCATCTGTACGGTCAAAAGGCAGGAATCTTACCATGCTGTAGTCATCTATCTGGAGACATAAACAATCTTAGTTTTCTCAATATAAACTACAAGAATATCATTAAACACCAAAACTAGGACTCTACTTACCAAACCACAAATTGCTTTAGTAAGCTTTTTGAACTTTTTGCTTCTGAAAGTGTCAGAGTTATCTTCCATCATGGAGTACATGTCTGGATCCAAGTACCTTGTAAATATACAACAACAAAATATTTTAAAACTCAGTATGAAGAGAAGGATCAGCAAGGTTTATAACAAAATCTGACAAATAAAATGCAGCCTCATCGAAGTTGGCAAGCATTCAGTGTTTTATTCTTACTAACTTACTTTTCAATTTCCTTCTTAGCCTTTGGAGCAAGCAGGTCCATTTTTGTCATGACATTTACTTGAGGAATTTCTAACGACACCATTGCACTGAGGGCAGCCATAACTCCAGAGATGAACTTTAGTGCAAGACAACGGAAACATCAGTGCATATTTAAAGTAAAGTAGGTTCATTTGAATAATGCTTCAACAAAAAAAAAGAAGAAAAAAAACAAAAACAAAAACAAAAAAAACAAAGAGAAAGTTACCTTAAAAGACTCCACCATAAACTGTGAATCTACCAAAAAGACCCCGCAAACCCGAAACTCCCACTGCTGGAGCTGCTCCACCAGCTGCCTCATCACAGGGAGGTGTGTGTAAAGCTCAATCTGACCTGGTAAAGTGTGAGAAGAGCTGCATCAGTCATGCACAGCTGACACTTTTTCATAAATAACATCAAGGGTGGATCTAAGAGCTGCACAGACTCTTATTAAGATGACATGTTTTCAGTATATACACCAAGATCAACAGCTGGTAAACTTTTTCCAACTTTAATGTTACACATATCCTGTAAAAATTCAAATGAAATATAAATAAATTTAAAATTTCAGTGTAAAAAAAAAAAACTACCACCACCATGTTTTATTGTACTTTTGTTCTAAACATACTTTTTAAATGGCTAAATGGTTCAAGCAAGGTCTGATTACAACATAACATATTCTCCTTCAGGTTTTGGGCAGATTTAAGAGAGACTTGGATAGTTTCTTTGGAAGAAAAGGATTGAGTCTCGCAGCTGTGTTGCTGATATACAGAGAATATAAAACATTGCTGTTACTCCTACAACATAAAAAGGACTTGCAAGAAATTCCAGCAGCTAGCTCAGTGTTGCTGCTTTCCTTGTCAGTTTCCATCTTTTCTTCCCATTTCACATGAACATTGACTTTAAAAACACTGTGCTTTGAAATTAAATCAGTTATTTAAATAAACTCTAACCTAATAAAGTTTTCACCTTCATTAAAACTTGGATCCAACGCAGAACATTTACCTGGGCAATCAAACAATATGTAGTCATCTTCTACGTGGCCGAGGCTTTCTTCCAGCCAGTCAAAGTTGTTGGCAAAGTACTCCATACAGAAGACCAGGCCTCCATTAGGGCCAAATCTCAGAGAGTTATCCTCCATTACGTCATCTACCTGAATGAGTTCACGGATGTCTGAGAAAACAGAAACAGAATATAGCAGACAAAGAGGTGTGTTAAATGTATCATGGCTCTAACATTTTCCTATTTTAACTTAATTCATATTTCCTTGGTAGTGTGTATTCCTATTACACATCCATCCAAAGTAAAACTTACCTGCCATAACAGGGTAATTAAAATGCTCTGCAGCAGGATCCAGGTTCACCACCTGGACTGAGCGGTTTAACGACTCTGCGTGCTGAACCATGGTGGAGCAGTAGGTACTCTGAAATAATAATAATAATAAAAAATTTATTAAAAAGACTAACACGTTTTACTTTTGCGTAGAAGACAAGACAGCCTCACGCCGCATCACAACATGTTAGCCGAACAACATAGCACAACCTCTCACCACAGACCAGGAAAGTTACCTTGCCGCTTCCAGCTGGGCCCATAACTAACTGTGCATAACGAGGCATTTTCTACCTCTGGAGAAGTCCGCTCAAAAGAAGTCCAACCTTTTCTAATAATCCACGATAGCTTAGTACAGTTAGGTACTACTGTATTAGTGTGACTACTTCTTCGTTCGAGGACACCACGCTGTAGGCACCGCTATTGCCACCTAGTGCTTAGACTGTGAATTATCACTCTCTGAAAAAGCAAGTATTTCAAGGTTCACTTTTAATGTTACGTTTAACTGGGTAACAATAACTTGATAAAAAAAAATGTGCATGTTATTAAGTATATATTTATAAGGCAGAATTAAGACTGCACTCACATTCCATCGGTGATCTGTCGTCAAAAACCACAGATCACTCCAACACACTAGGCGGCGGTAATAAATTCTAACAATAAGAATGTAACAAAGAGAAAGGGAATCGAGTGAGCTGCTATCAGCTGTCCATGCAATGATATGCGATATGGTCACTTGGCTAACTTACAAAAACACATAACAAAATGCCTGAACGGGGTGAATGGACTTGACAGGTTACGGTTGCAGAGGGATATTTGGGTAAAAGTAGGCTTCTTATTGGTAAGTACCCTTCTCGTTGTAAGTTCAGCTTGTAATTTATATTTTAACGTTTTGAGTTATGTTGCTTAAGTAAAACTTTGTAGTTATTTGACTCTTTCACAGCTACTGTGTAGAAATGCTTAGATAGTTAAAATAATAATAATAATAACAACCTAGTTTCCTCCTTCCTTGGTGTTTAAACTCCTCAGCTTATGAAAACGAAACGTTCAAGGCTAAACAAGCATCTCCCCTATTCTCAAGTGTTACATGGCTTTTTGCTAACGAGCCAACCCCGGTCCACTTATTTTAGTTTCGAAAAATATAAGCTCGGCCTTGGTGTTCATTGAGCCTGCCCATGACGCAACCACCAAAATACTACTTAACAATCTAGCCCCCATTTTGTTTTGACGTGAAACTCAGTATGCGATTAAAGTGTTGTTTATTCCTGAAATTACACTAAAAAGTATTGTCGTTATATTACGACAATACCATTTGGGTTAACTCTGCTTACAATGTAAGCAACCCTTCCAGTTCGTCCTCTGAAAAAAAAAGTAAATAAAATTTATGCATTCCAACAAGAATTCATTAAAATGTCTACCTTGAGTTTGATACAGAGGTGGCTAAATGTTTTATGAAGCCATGATAATTTGGAGCCCCGCCTTTTTTGCTTTCTGCATTTTACATTCTAGCAATCGTTGTTCCGAAAATGTAATTTTTCTGCTTGTTTCAAATGTGATATGATTCCTCGATCTAAATAAAAGTGTCAAGGAAAACCGTGAAGACGGTAACCTACACTTTCCTCTTGTGTTCATTGTTGCAGGCTATGAGTGTGGATAATGGAGGATGGTCAAGGTGGGGACTTGGACTACCTGATCCAAGATGAGGACACCATCATAGAGGGTGTTAGCAACCAGGTTTTGTTTGTAGTGGTTGTCAGTTTCACCTTCCTTGCAGGCATCTTCACTTTGCTCTGCAGGTAAACCACTAAGTCAGGCTGGTTAATTTAAATAGTTTTGAGAATTTTGTTAATAAAATAACAAGTGTACAATAAGTGGTCACAGAAGTATCATTTTTAATATCAAAATCCATCTAGGTATTTCTTTCTTACTGATTTAAATTTCACAGAGTTCTTTGAAACCAACACGTGCATATGTGTTACAAACCAGTTGCCAACAAAATAATCCCAGCTGCAGTCTCCTCATGCAGTCAGAGAAATCACCTTCAATCTTCCTGTGATCTTGTTTGAAACCTGTGTAACTAAAAAAACTTCCTTTTGTCCTTTACAGACAGGAAGAGCAGAATATCCATCCTGAAAATCAGGAGCATGTTCGAGCTGTCCGACAGCAGCTCCAAACTGAGCAGGTAAAACTAATAACTTTTAGGCATGGCTTTGTTGAAATGCCATGATTACTGTCATTTGAATTACATCTATATATTTGTATAAAGTGCAAATGACTGAGTCATTGCAGATATTTTACGTGTGTCATTTCTACTTTTCTTCTCCTTAGGATGAAAATCCGCAGGCTGAGGCTAGACAGCAGTATTACACAGACATGTCTTGCCCTGTGTGTTTACAACAGGCTGTGCTGCCTGTGGAGACCAACTGTGGACACCTTTTTTGTGGTAATTACATGGACAGTTTTACAAATTCACGTGTTTCTGGCATAGTTAGTGTAGTAAGAAACAGAGGAAACGATGAGTTGGTACAATCATTAGTGTAAAACATTTTTTCTTCACATTTTTACAACATTGGTGTTCTCAATATTGCTGTTTTATGTGTTTTTTGCATAGGCTCCTGCCTTATAGCTTATTGGAGGTACGGCACCTGGCTGGGTGCGATCAACTGCCCAATCTGCAGACAAATGGTGAGTGATACAATGCCACATCATTACCTTATTGCAATCATGCAATCATACCATTGTTATGCTTTAATGCCTCTAAAGTTTGTGAGGAAAAACAAATCTTGTGGGTTTTATAGTTAAAACCAGAGGTGCAGTGGTTGCTTCTTATGAAGACTAAGCTTTCCCTTTCCTGCACAATTCTTCTGAGTTTCTGTTACACTTGATCAAAACAGTTTGTTTAATTTCAGTGATTCTTAGAAATGTTTTGTGAGATTGTGTTTGTGGATTATGTCGTTTGTCTTAGACATGTATTTTGTTTGTGTTTTTCTAGGTAACACTTCTGTTCCCGTTATTTCACGAGCACGCCGCTCCTCAGAGGGTTCAGGACGGCGAGGCCGAACCTCAGCTTATATTACGAGACATCAACAATTACAATCGAAGATTTTCTGGTCAGCCAAGATCTGTGAGTCTTTTTTTTTTTTTTTTGTCTTATACAGGTTGCATTTACATAAGTCGTCTTGATCTTTAAAGATTTTTTTTATTATATAAAAAGAATATACTATTATATTCTTTTAGAATAGTGTCTGTCATGTTCACTTGTGTAACCGTAAGGAAATCTATACTTTTTTGGAGCAGCATAATCTCAATTGAAATTTTTATTTTTAAAAAATCCACCTTTTTCTTTGACTGTATGTATTTCTTTTTATTCTTCATTATGAAGATAAACTCAACACTGTAATGGACAACTTTAAGATACAACTTTAATAACTTTATAGAGCCTAAGTTAATGTTAGTTGGCATGTTGGTGTAAGCTAACATAATAATTGCATTTATGCTAACGTCATCTTTTTAGCTAATGTTAGCTATGATCTTACACTTTAGGTCAGTGAGCAGCATGTTCTACAACATTTTTTAAAACTGATTACCTGAGGTTTTAGCATCGACTTAAAGTTGTTATCCATTTTAGTCAGACAGTTTTGCTGTGCAAGATTCGCAGACTGTTTGACTTTTTGTCTGCTGCTTCTGCTTATTTCTGCCAACTGTTCTGGGTTTGACTTCAAGTAGTTTTGCTGTTTTCAGCAGTGGCATTCAGTTTACATCATTCACACTTCATTTTTGCAGGAAATGCACATTTTCTAGTTTCAGCGCCGTTTTTCTTTTGCTCATATGTGCAGTGGACGCCGGTGAATGTGGCCCGCCCTGAGTTTAGAAGACGCCTTTTCATAACTCTACATCTTGTCTGTTTTCCTTCTGTCAGCTTATGGACAGGCTGCGGGACGTCCCCACCCTGCTCCGTCATGCCTTCAGGGAGATGTTTTCTTTGGGCGGACTCTTCTGGATGTTCCGGATTCGAATTCTTCTCTGTCTCGTCGGTGCCATCACCTACCTGGCCTCGCCACTCGACATTCTCCCGGAAGCTCTTTTCGGCCTTCTGGGCTTTATGGACGACTTCTTTGTGATCCTCCTCCTGTTTGTGTACATCTCTATCATGTACAGAGAAGTGGTTACGCAGAGGCTTAACGGCTAGGCCCACACACAGAAACGGGGACAAAAGAGAGATGAATATCTGAGAAGAGTTTGTTAGAAAATATTGGGTTTTCTCAGAGGGGCTTCACTTTAATTAAATGGACCCTGAGCGTCTGACTGGACAGAGGTTAGCAAAACATTGTGAACATCAGATTTTGTTACAAAGGTTCTCATTGAAATTTACAAGGCAAAGGATTTCAGGCAAACAAGTTACAATCAAATGAACATGTATGAACAATGTACTGCTTCAAGATTTAACCGTTTAAAAAAATATAAAAAATCTATTAAGTAATGTGATTATCAACATAATACGGACAACTGTGCAATACAATGACGTCTTGTATTTATGGGTTTATATGTAATGATTCCATCTTAATTTTCACGTCAAAGAACAAGTGTTGAATGGTGAAAGAGTTCCTGTTTGAGCTTGTTGTCATTACAATAACGTGTAACTATGCATATTTTATGATAACTTGGGAAAGCAGAGCTTGTTGAACCGGTTGGAAACATTTTCTGAATAATCTTTTTAAGCAACAATTTAAATTCAATAATCAAAACCTGCTTCCTGCATGCATACACGGAACACTCAACACCTTCTTACACAAACGTTTTCTTAACAAGCCATTCTGAAAATATAAACGGATAATCCTGGACAATTCTGAATGTAAATCGTCTAAAAATGAATGTGAAGTCATTTCTGTTCAGTTTACTTTGACATTCTGTTGTGAAAAGTAAATTTGGTTTGAGCTATGAAATCAGATGGTCAATTCTTCAACAGTTTGCGTCCTTTTGTATTCAGTACACTGTTGGCATTAGCATGTACAATGCAGATCTTTTTTTTTTTATTATTATTATTTGTAAATAGTTTTATCAGTGGTATAGGCGTATTATCTTCAGACGATGAAATGAAAGGTGCCATGTCTGTGTGCTACTGAAGAGCACTGGCTTGCACCGTCTGTTTAAATCCACACACAGTTTTGCTTTCAAAAGTCACATGAATTGGCACCGTTTGCAGGAGATCTTAAAATCATATTTTATTACCATATGATGAATATTAGAACAATTCTGAACTTTCAATTCAAGTACATTTACTGAGTAGGGAAAAAAAAAATATGTATTTCAAGAATGAATTGCTTTTAACAATGTAATGATCAATACTTTGCACAGTCTTCCCTTACCTGTTAATACATTAACTCCAATTAAACTTATAATATTTCACAATGTTGGAACATCTCCAAATGGTAACTAGAATCTGGGGTCCTGTTTTATGCCCTCATCAGCTTTCCAATATGATTAAGGTCTGTGGAACGACATGGCTGGTGTTATCTGCTTACTGAATACTGGATGGATTTTTGCATCACCTCGTTGAAAAAAGCTCACGGAATTTATTTGTATTTATTTGTGTTGGCATCATTTTCAAACAACCAATGTGCATGTAGACAATATTATACAGTTTTAGTCTTGACTTAAATGTTGCCTTTTGCAGCTGTTGACTAGCATTAAGCCTTCATCATTTTTTCCCTCCTTTTTAGTCACTGTTCATGCCGTCAAAATGAATATGTGTCCTCATCCTGCATACAAGCCAGAGGTTTAGAGGGTACACATAATTGAGGAGCTGGGTAATTCAGAAAAAAAAAAAAATCTTAATTTTTATCCAGACAGAAAATGCCCTCCCAATATCAAAGGGTATGTTTTTTTTTTTTTTACTTTGTGTGTGTGAGATTATGCTACTACAATAAAAGATTTAGTCTATTCACACACTCCTTCCACATGCCAGTACCTGCATTGCAGTTGCATTTTAATCCGATCCTATTGTTTACACAAAATCGGAGTTACATTGCTTAACGTAAATCCTTCACTTGGAAGAAAAATCCTTCTGCTGCTGTGTAAATGTCGAGTTCTGTTTACAATTTTGCCATTAACTTTAAATCTTTTTCAATCTAATAAATATGTTGCACATGCCAAAATGTGGCAAACCCTTTTTTTTTTTTTTTTTAATTGACTGGCAGCTCATTTACTGTGTCTCAGTCGTGTTTCAGCAACTTCCACCTCCGTTTCAACACCAAGAACCAAGATGCTTAAGGTATTATCACACCTAATTTTCTAGACCTCAGAACTGGTTCGGAGAGAAATTCATATGGGGAAACACCTCTGAGGAATCAGTTCTCGCCCTGGAATTTCATGTAGGTGATTTAAAAATGCAGGATATTAGTTTTTCTACCAAAGGTGCAGTCAGTCTTAACTGAAAAATACACACATCTGTATTTTTCAGTGTATTTTGATAGACTTTATAAACTTTTACCTTTATAACACAGCAGGTCATGTAACACAGTAACTACTTGTACACTTTGTCAAAATTAAGATTTTCCCACAATAGCAAAGTCTGTAAATTATTTTTAAATTAATCCAGTGGCTCTCTGCCACGTATTTCACAATTACTTTATAGCCATGGTGCTTGTCATAGCAATGGAATGATTATATTGGTGTGTCGATGACAAATCAGTGCGAGTTTCATTGTGGGCCTGGATGGGAGAAGCGGGGAGTCAGAGGTTGTTTATGAGGTTTGTTGTCCGTCAGAGATCAGATGAAATGGTTTGATCAAAACATTAATTGGCTTGATGGCAATTTAAAAAAACAGAAGTAACTCTTCTACATTTTATCACATTGGAATAACAAACCTAAAATACGATTTTGAAGGAAAATGAAAAATAAAATTGTTGGCGTACTGCTACTGAAAACTGCTTTCCTTAGTGATTAATACATTTTTATTTAATCTAAACCTGTGGAATTGCATAGACCATTTTCTAGAGTTAGAACATTTACAGTTGAAGTCAAGAACTAAATCCTTAGTAAGACTTGAAAATGGATCTTAATTCTCTTTATCTGAGCTGATTAAGCTTGAAGTAAAAGGAGGTGCTGCAAAGTACTGACTCATAAGAGCTGGATACAAACGCAGCCTTTCCACGCCTTTGTATCGTTTAAATAAAGTAGTTTTAATTTTAAAACCACTCTTGAAAAACTAAGCTTTTTTTCCCCATTTGACGATTATTCATAACTTCGAGTTGTTTTAAACTCCAATAACAAACTGTAAGAAGAAACAAAAAGCTCAATAAATATGAATTGTTTTAGAAAGCACTGTGTTGACCTAACTATCTATGTGTAGGGTATAATTCCAGGTGTAATATTTTACAGTTGAAAAGTAAAAATAAGCGAAACATGAATTTCATTTAACAAATGCTCCTATAATTGGTAAAGATTTTGTTTGCTAAACAATCCGTCTGAGACACATAATACATACTCTATAATAATAGAAAATAAAAAACAGTTCTGCTGACCCTGCCCGCCCACAGCGCCTCCGAAAGGCGCCGGCTTGGGCAAAGCAGCGAACCCTATCACTGGCCGACGTATCGGTGAGACACCGAAAAAGCAGCAGAGACCTCTGGAGTGTATGAAGCTCGCTGTTAAGTTCGGGCTCCCTTCGCCACGCAGACTCAGCCAGCCTACGTGAACTAACCATGAGCACATCAGAGTCCTTGGATCGAATGGAACTCTGCGAAAGTCTCTTGACATGGGTAAATACTTAAATCAGAGTGTTTTTATAGTGACAGACAGCTCTCCGGCGCCGGGGCGATGCTAGCTAGCATAGAAGAGCTAGCGATCGCTCCTGGAGCTAACAGAGGAAACGTTAGCTGGCTAAAGGAAAATGACACTTTGGTTACGTATGCAGGCCAGCTGTTTGCTGTGTTCAGCCACCATCTACCATCGTGTGACCAGAATGTCGATTACAGCACAAATCAGATTTGCTGTTACTTAATGTTAGCTCAACTTTCTGGTTCTTAAATCTCAGCTGTATGTAAAAACAGTAGATCCAGACAACATCGGTGTTAGGCTTTAGTTTAGCATTTCTTTGGCGAAGCTCCCCCCCCACCCCCTAGATCGTTTAACGTGTCAGCTTTGAGGCTGAATTCCTGTCATTCTTGTCAATGTAGCATGATGCTCACTCGTCCTTCTTCATTCTTTCTACTGAGCCAGCTGTCAGATACACGACGCTTCCCTCATCATTTATTTGCACCTTCTCAAAATCCAGCCAAACTCGGAATTACAGAGCTGAAAAGCTGTCAGACCCCAAAGTCACGTGGTTTCCTGTCGTTCATGTTTACACTGTTGGAGAAAATCTCCCAGCTCTCTGTAGTCAGAGATGTAATACTTCCGATGATGCTCACCCTGTTTGGTAAATTTGAAATGTAATGTTTGTTGTTGTACATTTGATCAGTGTTGTCAGAAAACATTTCAAAATTGCTCTGGTCACATGTTTACATCTCAGGAAAGTGTATATATTTACATGACAGATCCATTTATCTGAATTGGCTGATTTTCCCTCTATCACCCAGGTTTGAAAAAAATGTTTGAAATTTTCACCACTGAAACTGCCTTTTACTGATTATGAACCAATGAAAGGAAAACAATCATATTCTGAACTTTTTTACTGATTGACTGGCACATGTCTGCTGTAAAACTAACATTTATTAAAGAACCTGCAGCATTTTGTCTCCTGTTTATATGTTATGATAGTTGGAAAAAAAAAAAAAAAAAACATAAATCGATATCAACCTAGAAGTGGTTGATTGGTGCATCTATTCTTTACAAATATATTTATTTTCACTGCAAAGGTATATCTGTTTATGCAACTTAGAACTTTGCATTGTTAAATGGTTTTGATTTATTTAGACGACACTGATTATGGATTGTCAGATATGTCTTGTTATGGAAACTTGCCATAAGGAACGTGTTGTCCCACAAACTGCCTGCATAGGTCAGGAGCCTGTTTAACAAAGACAGGTACTGATTGAAGAGCTTGATACATTCTTGCTGTGTTGTATCTGTATTCCTCAGCATTGTCTAGTGCGTCATGCTGTCTGGATGCAAACTGAAGAACACATCTGATTACTGTCTGTTACTTAACCTGCAGCGTTTTGTTTTAATTCCCTTTCCGATGGTCGAACGTTTCATTTTCCCAGCCGTTTCTGCCAACCTATAGGTGTGGATTTCCTCTTTGACCTCACTCGACTCTTCAGTTTTGTGTTTACTTCAGTTTGAACATTTGTGGGCTCAGTTTCAGTTTCAGCAGTCCATTGTAAACCTGCTGGATTTGGTATCCTTGCTTTGACTTGGCCTGTGCCGGCTGTGGTCGATAATTTCCATTGTGAATTAGTTGATATAATTAAAGCCTCTTCTAGCTTTCCATTTGAGCCCGTTTACCCTGCAGTGCTGGGCAGCGTGCGCGACGCAAACTGGATGTAATCTGAAACAAGTGCGAATGTTGAGCCTTTTGAATGTCTCACATTGCATGATGGTTAGGTTCCAGATTAATTAAACCGATTCAGCTATTATATCACCAAGAGGCAATTTAATGAGCTGCAAATTATAAACAGTAAACATTTACATGTTGTCTTTTATGAGAATGACATCTGTTGCTTAGTGACACGTTAGCTGTCAGTGACAGATTGGGGTTATAGTGGATCCAGTACCAGAGAAATGTCCAGACGAACCATTTGAAAAGTGTGTGTGCACCGGCTCTAACGGCACAGAAAGCTTTATAAAGCAACATGAGGCCCATTTCACAGATACACAATGTGTAAAGCAAGCCGCCTGAATCGCTCTCTCTCTCTCTGCTACTTCTATACGGTTGGTTCCACATGAGCATCAAATCGCTTAAATCCGTTATCTGGTTGTTATGATCACTGTTTTTTAATTTGTTAAACGTAGGAAAACTGGTAATTATGTATGTTTTTTTCTTTAAAAAAAAAAAAAAGTAAGCGTCTGGTTTCAAATTGTCTGAATATGTTTAAATCTGCAACAACAGATGTTGCTGAAAGTTTCCAAGACTGTCAAACAGGTTATTCCCTGTGTGAAAATGTTTTCGTCCTTTTCGTTTCCCCGCATCCCATTTGTGTTTTTAAGTGGGTGGTTCGCCCCGTGTTTTTCTTTCCTTCCTCGTCTTTCCTGCAAAAAAAAATAAAAAAAAAAAGGAAATGATGCAGAGCAAATGTTGTGGCTCAAAACATTTAGAACAATGTTTCTTCCCGCTGCCTGCTTTATGGCCGTGCTTCAGTTCTCTCCCCAGAATGAATATGGAACTGAACGTCGTTTTGAGATGCGCCGTTTCGCACTATTTACCATCTGTGATCTCAGTCTGCAATATCTGTTTCTCCTTATCGTACCTCAAACTGGAGAAAAGTGAGTAGCATAGACATTAGAGAAGGTAATGCGTACGCTTAAATCAGCAGAGGTTCTTACCTTCAGTAGTTAGACGGATCGATGAGGGAAGTGTAACTGTGTCTTTTAAAGTAAATGATAAGAAACTAAGAATATATATATATATTTTTTTACATAAACATAAAAATATGGAACATAAGCTCCCTGTAAGCATGATGGTAGTTTGCAAGTGTTTTTCACCAAGTTTGCTGTCTTTTTCCTTATGTTGCTTCTTAAATGATACATTTAAAGAGAATATTTTAACATTAGAAGTTTAGTTAGTTACTACAGAGAGTGTTATAATACATCAAGCTCGAGATGATGCACAAAACTACATTTACAAGCTGAGCTGAGGATTTACATTTATTATGAGGAAGAAAGGGGTTTCAGAGTTGCAACTCTGCTATAAGCAAAGGTTCTTTCAGCCAGCTGAGCAGCAGTGTGCAGCATCAAGTGAAAGGGGTTCAGAAGTGGACGACTCTGACATTTCATTTCATTTCATTGACAGAGCTTTAACTATAGGGAAATATGATGGACTTTTTTATATATATATATAGAAGTGTTAGTTCTGTGCGTCATTTGAAATTTGGAAATCTAGCTCTTCAAGTTCTCTAATGCCAGGTTAGAGCTAGAAAATGAAAAGTTCTTCCAAAAGCTGAAAAGACCCATTCATAAAAATGGCTCCTGAAGCCGAAAAATGAAATAAAACAGAGGCAAATGGACGCCAGGTTGTATGTTCTTAGAGCTCTCAGAGCTGCTTTTTAAATTTCCTCCCGGTATGGAAAAATGAGGCTACCTAACACTCAGACTTCAGAAACCTCGTCTGTTTTCTTGCTGTTTGAATTCCAGCATTCCTGCAACAAGTTTCCCTCCTCCTTTGGCGCATGTTTCACTGGCATCTACACTGAAGAATATAATATCCGTTACAGCTGCATACTTTCTGCCTGTGCTAGCAGGAGAAAACTGCAACTATGGGGAAAAGACAGTGGTGACATGGCATGTGAGGTAGTGTGGAAAGAAGAATAGGATCCGAAAATTACTGAGGCGATGGAACAGGAAGTAAGTGGTGAGGAGAAGCAAAGTGGACTTGGACAGTGCGTGTAAATACTCAGGTTGTACTTTCAGTAAATTCTTTCTGAAATATCTACTTCTACTGGCAAATAAACATCCGGTTTAGCTTGTGTTTCCTGGCACAAAAACATGTCTTTAAATTCTCTGACGACAGATATTTTCCGCCTGTTTCCCTGCTGCTGTTAGGAGCTTAGCATTCGGTGTCACGCTGCAGATATTTCAGACACAGTTCTGAAAATGCATGAAGAAGATTTCAAACCAAATTCACAGTGATTTTATCAGACCTGTTAATGGCGACGGTGTTTTATGAACCACTAGGGGGCACAATTAAACTTTAAAAACAAGTTTAAATTCACAACCTTATTCTAAAACAAAAACTGTGTTTCATTCTCTTTTTAGTTTTCATACTACAAAGTAATCAAAATGTTGACATTCCACTGTGTTAAACAGTAACACTGGTTAAACTGATCGCAGCTTACCCTAAAAATGTGTGTGTGTATGTGTGGGTGCGTGCGTGTGTGTTTGCCTACCGCTTCCACAGATCCAAACATTTGGAGTGGAGGCACCATGTAAGACAGTTGAAGATTTGACCAGTGGGGTCGTAATGGCCCAAGTCCTGCAGAAAATGTGAGTTTTTGTTTATTTATTTTTTCCATTTATTTGTTTAGTGTCACTCACTGTTTTTGTCTTGACACATTTATGCTACTAATATTTTCTTTGATTTTTTTTTTTTTTTTTTTTTAGCGACATATCATATTTTAATGATGCTTGGATTACCAGAATCAAGCCAGAGGCCGGGGACAACTGGAGGTTAAAGGTCAGCGCTGTCCTTTCTCAGCAGCAAATGTATGAAGTTGCATGGTAGTAATGAGTGAAATTTAACCAAGTTTGTCTTTCGACAGGTCAGCAATCTAAAGAAAATCTTGAAAGGCATTCTGGACTATTACCAGGAGGTAAGAACATGCAGCTGTGCAAGTTTTGATTTAGTCTGTCTCAGGTTTAGATGATTTTTGTTTTGTTATTATAAATATAATAAGTATTTAACATTTTTCTTTTCAGGTCTTAGGTCAACAGATCAATGATTTCACACTACCAGATGTAAATTTGATAGGAGAGCACGCTGATGCTGCAGAACTCGGGAGAATGTTACAACTCATCCTGGGCTGCGCCGTTAACTGCGAACAGAAACAAGGTGCTTATTTCACCCTCTGATAATAAAGCTGGTATAAATGATCAGCAGATGAACTGTATCTATGATGGTCTGATTGATTTTTGTTTGCCGTTTTGCGTTGCATAGAATACATCCAGACCATAATGGTGATGGAGGAATCGGTACAGCATGTTGTCATGACCGCCATCCAGGAGGTGGGCATTTTGTTCTCACATTGATATTATTTTGACTCATCCTTTGTGTTTTTAATTTGTTATAAACAATCACTGTTTTTCTTTTTTTTTTCTTTTTTTTTGTCCCTCTGCAGCTGATGAGTAAAGAGACTGCTGTCACCCCTGGAGGAAATGACTCGTATGCAGATCTGGACAGAGAGGTGTGGAAAGTTTTATTATTCACAAGATCAATTCTGTTTTGCTGGATGCCAGAAGAATGACGGCTTCTTTTATGAGGGACTGAGATCAGCAGTGTACTAAGGGATGTTGGCAGTTTGGAAGTCCAATCTGTTCTTTTCACATGATACGATCTATATTGTGAAGCGGATCTGTCCCTTCTGGAGTAAACCTTCCTTACAACATGACGGGACATGTTCTAAATGAGCCGTGGTCTTTAAAAGCAAAGATCTTTATCACATAGTGCATTTGCGATCTGTTATTTGACTTTTTTAGTTTGCTTGTTTGACCTGATTAAAAGCACAATAATTTAAGACTGCATAAACATCTACATTTGCAATTAATAGAAAACTTTAATCAAGAAAATCGAATTATTCTTCCAAATAGAAATAATGTTGTTTATCCTATCAGAGAGTATCTGATCTAAAGAAGAAGTTTTTGTCTGTTTTCATGCCAGTGAGCAACAAATGGTCATGTCTTTAACACTATATATTTATATATATATATATATATATATACACATATATATCTGCTTTCAGCTGAGCTTATGTAAGGGGAGAATCAGTGCAGGTCTTAAACAGTCAAACGGTTTGTGTTAAACCTTTTTAAAGTCTTAAGTACAGTTACGTTATCAGGTCTTCCATTGATTATTTAGTTTCCTCTTCATGTATGACCTGCAGATCTCCCAAAGAAAACATTGGTGTCTCATTTTGGATTTTCTGCTTCTGAACCCAAAAGAGCGCAGATTATTGACAGATCATTTGAAAGCCGTGTACATATGAGAGGATTTTGATTGTGACCCAGCCATCTGTCATCAGTTTAATCAGACAAATTGGTGCAATTTTAATGTGTTGTTTCCCCCCCCCCACCCACTTGTTTTTAGCTCAAGAAGACAATTGAGGAGCTGAATGATGCTTTGGCAACCAAGGAAGAGATTTCTCAGCGGTGTCGTGAGCTTGACTTGCAGGTCAGTTTAGAATGATAATAATGATAAAAAAAAAATTATAACAATGCATTTTTTTAACTACTAGAAGTCCAAACTGTTATTGTGCAATTGTTGTGAATAAAAATAAAATAAAATATAAAAAAAAAAAACTGATGAATTAACCACGTATAAACAACAACTTTTATAAAATATTCAACACCGGGAGAACATGTCTCATGTTTTCTTATATATTTTGTAAATTATTTAATATGCACTGATTGTGTTATGCTTCCTAATTTAACAAATGTTATTCAGCATATTTAGGAAAAAAATAAATCTGCTCTCTCTTTTTTTTGTTTCTTCGCTACTTTTTATTTCATGTCATTAAAACTGATGAATTTTCCTCACGAGGAGCAAACCTATGGTGATTTTTTTTTTCTTTTTTAGCCTCATTGTTGAAGTCTGATCTGGAAAACTTACAAAAAACAGCTGTGGATCTAAAATTGTTGTTGTTGTTCTTTGTCTTTAAGTCGTTTCCCATTTCTTTCCTGTCTGTTTCAACACTGTGGCTTGTTTTAAAGGCCCTCCATGCCCAAGAGGAGCGTGATAGACTGAGGTTAGACTTTAATGAGCTAGAAGAGAGGGTAAATCCAAACTTCATTTTCTCTCTTGTCTGCCTTCCATCCACACTGAGTGCCGTGTTAAGTAGTCCTGCCGTTGTTTTCAGCCTGCTTGCACCAGATTTTTCTCCTCCAAACTGTGTGAGCATGTGCGAACGTGTACACGTTTGTGCACAAACGCTTGTGCACACATCTACACGTGGTGCTTTTGGAGCACACACACCGTCTAGAGCTGCAGTTTTGTCTTGAGTGTGTCAGGTGGTGTCCTGCACTAATGATCCTGAGCGTTTCTCACCTCAGTGTGTTTCATCCTTTTTAGTAGCAGCAGTAAGACGGCAAGAGAAAGAGGTTGAAATGAAAGTGGGGGAAGAAAAAAAAAACATTTACAGCAAAACCTTTTTTCCCCCCTTAAGACTTCCTGTTATTTTTTGTATCTTGGGACTTTTGGTCTTTTGTATCTTGGGACTTTTGGTCTTTCATAGGGATTACGCTCTTCAAAAACATTCTTCTTATTTTGAATATAGACATTTGTGTTATTTCTGGCTTTTTTTCTATCCACCCACACCTTAGTTGGAGTATTTTCTTGTTGCGATCTTGGAATTTTCACAGCAATGCAACTTGTCCTAGAGGTCGTTATCATAAGCCATTTATGGACACATCTCAGTATATTAAAATATCACCAAGAAATGAACTTATTTTAAAAACCTCATTAAAATAAGTTCACTTTGAGGCCTAATGAAACTATAAATTAGGGTTAAGTTGTCAACGCTGGACAGTTTAAAGACGATCAGTGACCGTTTTCCTGTCGTTTCTGATGATCGTTGCGTGTAGCTCTGAGTTTTTTAAAGATTACGTTGTTCTTGGTCAAATATGGGAACTGAAAAATGATTAAAAAAATGGCATGATGGGTAATTTTGCCTTTGAACATATCAAAATATTTTCATTTCTTAAGAAAAATCGTATGGTGAGTTCTTGCTTTTGCTGTTTGAAAAGGACGACAACCAGCAGCTTCTGCTTTGCTTCGTGTGGAGTTTGATTCCTTGGTTATCAAACTGAAAAGAAAACATGTCCCCATACGCAACCCTCCCGCTGTGTTGGAATTTATTTGCCTCATTGATGTGTGTTTGGTGTGTACTTACCAGAGTAATGCGTTGATGCAGTGATTGAGAAACTAATTGACTAAATTCTGTGAAAACTAAAGTGTAACCTATGTATTTTAAGTATCTCAAGTATCTCAAAACTTTAACTGCTTTTTATGTCATTGCCTTGTTCACCTCTCTGGATTCCCCTGCGTTTTCCTCCTTTCGTCCCACACTTCCTGTTCTCTGCCTGCATCGGCAACACCTCCACCATCTCAGGTGGCGGCTCTGCAAGAAGAGAAGAGCAGCCTGCTGGCCGAAAACCAGCTCCTGATGGAGAGACTTAACCAGTCTGACTCTATCGAGGACATAAACAGCCCTGCTGGACGTAGACATCTCCAGCTGCAGACACAGCTGGAGCAGCTGCAAGAAGAAACCTTCCGGTGGGAACTAGCTTCACAAACTAGTAGCTGAATAGACCGAAGTTGACGTTTTCTTTACAGACGTGTTGATTTTTCATGCTTTCTGTTAGGCTGGAGGCGGCAAAAGACGACTACCGGATCCGTTGCGAGGAGCTCGAGAAAGAGCTCCTAGATGTGAAGTCCCAGAATGAAGAGCTCACGTCTTTGGCAGATGAAGCCCAATCTCTGAAGGACGAGATGGATGTGCTTAGGTAGGACTGGGAGGTGCATGGATGTTATCTTAGTAAAACAAGCAAAGCTTGTAAGAATTAAAGAAAGTAATCACAGTACAACCAAAAACTTCGTTGTAACTTATTAGGATATTATGTGATTGACCAGCTAAGGTTATAAGAGAAAGGGTTTATTGTTTTCACTTTCTTTGTCTTTCTTTTCACAAATAAATATGTAAAAAGAGTGACATAGGTTTTGTATTTACCCCCTTTTCTCACACACCATTCATTTTCACAAATGTATTGATAGAATTGATGGAACTATCTGTCTTTAGCTCTCATAAAAGCTGAACAGAAGTCGGCTTTCAAAGCTTTTGACGAGCAACGTAAATCTGAAATGGTTAATTATCCTGTATTTTATCAGCTTCTCAACACTTTGAATGAACTGTGATTCATTTTATTGCTAGGTATATCAAATCTTTCATCGGCTCTATGTACGTATGATGTGTGATTTTAAAGATTGACCCCAGGAAGAGTGAGCTGTATGTAAAGCCTAGCTAACGTGGATCCTAAAAGATAAACGATAAACTATTAAATACAATTCACGACAACCAAATGCTCTCAAAGGTCAACTAGGTATAGCAAACGAGTCCACCTTCCTGTAATTTAATGCTGTCACTTAATGGGGAGGGAAAAGTTCGCCAAAAAAATGATATATGGATTAGGTTTATAAGTTACACTTTCAAGAATATTTAGTTTGGTTTGCCTTGCGCCGTCTCATAAAATCTCAATAAAAACCACATTTACATGGAAGGAGTACAAATACTTTGAGAAACTAAGTCGACAATTTAGGACTTCCTGTTTTCTTCTTAGACATTCATCTGACAAGGTTTCCAAACTGGAGGGTACCGTGGAGCACTACAAGAAAAAACTGGAGGACATGGGGCTACTCAGGAGACAGGTACAGAAACACACTGACAAATGTCTTTTATCGCCTGCTTGTCAGCCTAAAAGGTTACCTGCAAAGCAGAAGTGATAGATATGGCTAATATTGCTCCCTGTGCTCCAGATTAAGCTTCTGGAGGAGAAGAACACAGTGTTAATGCAGACTAACGTCAGCTTGGAGGAGGAGCTTCGAAAGGCCAATGCTGCCAAGGGCCAACTGGAGACCTACAAGAGACAGGTAGGTCCCTGACCAGCTGGGGTTTTACTGACGGGGGAGCGTAGCCAAGCTCTCTTGCATTTGCAGTCGTGGTGCTCCTGCAAGTTTTTAAGAAATTATGACGGGTGTTTTCTTTTTTTTCTGGGGAACTCCCTCGTCTCTCCTCAGGTGGTCGAACTTCAGAACAGACTTTCGGAAGAGTCTAAAAAGGCCGACAAGATGGAGTTTGAGTACAAACGCCTCAAAGAGAAAGTGGACTCTCTACAGAAAGAAAAAGACGTATGTAATGTCTTTTGAATTTAGAGGGAAATGAAGCTCCCCAAAGTACACTTTCTGTTTGATGTAGTAATGTATCCCCTGTTCTGTCCCTAAACAGCGCATGAGGACAGAGAGAGACTCTCTTAAGGAAACTATTGAGGAGCTCCACTGCGTTCAGGCTCAAGAGGGACAGCTTACATCAAGTACCGGAAAGCCTTTGTGATCAAATATTAACAAACGGAATCCATTATTCTACGTTTGTTTTACAAAATGAACTGCTGTTGTCCGTTTTTATCAGGTTTGTTCCCACTAGGGGGCAGCGAAGGCTCAGATTCCCTGGCTGCTGAGATCACCACTCCAGAAATCCGGTAAGTAAATTAGACTTTTTAGTCCCGTGTCTTATTAATTTGTCAGCAGTCTCTGGTCACTTTGTAGCAGTCGAGTGTTTTCTGATCCAACTTTAACTCTCCTGCTTTGGCCCACCATCCACTGTGCAGTCACGTCAGTCATTCACTTATTTGTCAAACTATATTCAGTGCATTTTATTAAATTTAGCGAACCTGTTTGGTTCACCTGAGCGATAACCATGTGCCCCTAGATAACAAAAGCCTTTTTGCCTGTTATTTTTGAAAATATTTCTTTGACCTCACCTGTTCTAAGCTGGAAATCCATAAACTTCGGTCTTCTTCATAGGAACACATTGGCGTTGTTAAAGTGGGACTTGATTACCTCTCTGAGATTGAAAATGTGACAGCTCAACAGTATGTAGCTAAGTGTGACCCCCTTTTTTAAAAATGTTAGTACCTGCCCCTTTAAAGTTCTTTTCATGTCCCTGATGATGCGCACTAAAACTTCTTAGCCGTACTACTCGGACCATTATTTAATCATCCGAGTAATACTAAAAGGCTTTCTTTACGACTATTGCTAAGTATTTTTATTTTTTTTTTTTAATTAAGGTTTTAAATTGAATCTTTTCAATTTTAGTTCTATAATAGGGGATGAGTAGGTCAATATTTCCCACGCAGAATCTTAACCTCTTACCTGACATGATGACATCTATTTTCCTCATGGGCCCATTGACTTACACGGACAGCTAAAGGGTTTTAAATTACCTTTCAGTTAGCTCTTAAAGTTTTACATTTATTTGTTGCTTTATTTCACACTTCATTCATTCTGTCTGCTGCGGTTCTGGCTGAGGCATTATTAGACTTCTGTGTGAATCTTCCAGAGGCCCTCAGCTGTTCAGTCGGTGTTCTGACTTGTCAGAGCTGTTTTGGCAGCAAAGCTATCTAATCATTATCAGGCAGCAGGTAGTTAATCACAATGTTATGGTTGCTCAACAGAATCATCCACGGTACTGTATGTGTTTCCCCTCGTCCTCAACGAGCCTTTTCTTCTGTTACAGTTTCTCGTTTTGGGTTAATGAGATGTTTCGCTTTAAAGCTTTGTGCAACACCTTTGTACGAGTTGCATCAGCTCGCTAACAGCTTTCCGAGGGAGGTTCTTGCTGTGCCTGGGTTTATGTTCTGTAGTTTTTTTTTGTTTTTTTTTTTTACAGCACTTATGAACCTAAAACAATTGGCCGTTATGCAGAAAATCCAGAAATTATAATCGTTGAAAAGCTGCTTAACCCAAACTCAGACAACTCTAGCAATTAGACAGAATCTACTGAAAGGAAAAAGATTCCCAAGTCAAGATTTTTCATTATCTGTTGAGAATCTTTTAAAATGTCTGGAGTTTTAGGTGTTGTAAATGCATTTCTTTGAATGTGAGTTCATTAAAACCATATACCAGAGATGGACTGATCAGCTTTGACCTGCTGACTCTGATTTGTGACGTAGGAAATTATTAGAAGAGCATTGCAGATGTGTTTTCAGCAGCCCTGCTGTGAGCTCTTAACACTTTAGGAGCAGAGTTGACGTCACGTTGTGTGCATGAAGAAGCAGTTTATGTTTTAAACTCTTAAGCATCCTACATTAGCCGTTTTCACTGCAAACATCAGTCTGTGTGTATTCCCTGGTGAATTCAGACCCTCACCATCCAGTATGTTCCAGAGATTAAAAGCTCAGAAGTGATAAAATAGAATAACTTTGTTGAACTGTGTTCTTCTGTCCTCTTATCGGCTGTAAGTCTCTTCCTTACGCCGCATGAATTATGTTTAAACGGGCCCTGAAATGTTGTAGAAAATGTGTTTTCCTTTTACCTGGGTTTTAAAACCTTCTGTGTTTTTTTTTTTTTCTGACTACATTGCTAAACATCTCGCTGATGCTGAAAAGGTGTTCTTATTTTCTTGACCCTTGCAAACTTTGCCGTATTAATACACGCCATCGCTTTTGAGTTTGGTTGTTTTTGTTTCTACATGTATCCCTAATTCAGTGCCCTAAGTTAATTAGAGATTATTGCCAGCAATTCTGATTCTGACCTAACTGGTCCTCGCGGCGCGTTTCCACAGGGAACATCTGATTCGCCTTCAGCACGAAAACAAAATGCTGAAGCTGGCCCAGGAGGGATCGGACAACGAAAAGATCGCTTTGCTGCAGAGCCTGCTGGAAGATGCCAACAGAAGAAAAAGTGAACTGGAGACAGAAAACAGGTTTGCGCAGAAAACTGTCCAGAAAACAAAAACTTTGTTTCCCACGGTTTAAAGTTCATCTAAATTCAAGATGGACTAGGCATCAGTTGGCTCTCATTTTGATCTGTTGATCTCAGGAGACCTGTATATTTTGTAAGACCTGTAATATTTTATGTACTCCTGTTGTAGTTTTCAGTATTCTCATTCCAGTGTTAAAAAACCTTGTTGTCATATTAGTTTTCCATTTCTTTTCATTTAGATTAATCAATCAGCGGTTGATGGAGGAGCAGAGTCAGGTGGAAGAGCTCCAAAAGACGGTGCAGGAACAGGGTTCAAAAGCAGACGATGTAAGTGAACCGAATCCTCTTTTATGTTTTCATTTCGACTTTTACTGACGATAAATAACCACATGCCTCTAACTTCTAAGTCCGAATAAAAATAAAAGTTTTAAAACATTCACTCTTGACTCGTTTATTGTGCACGTCAGTTTAAATGAGTGACTGTGTATTAATGATTGATTTAATTCCGTTTGTTGTAAAGCATTTTTCATTTGTTTCTGTTTCAGTCATCAGTTCTGAAGAAGAAATATGACGAACATGTGTAAGTTGCATTAAAATAAAGCAGTCATGTATAACTCAGATTGTTTTAAGGGCTTCCTACAAAACTGTCTGACCTAATTTGGCCAAAATCTCACTTTTTATGAATTTTTTTTTTTTTTTTTTCTTCCTGTTGTCGTTTTAGGGAGAAGTTACAAGAAGTGAACAACGAGTTACTGAAGAAAAACGCTATCATCGATGAAATGGAGCCTAAATACAATGCCAGCTGTGAGTTTGGACTAACTGCTGACATGTTTGAAGCCTTCATTTCACTTTCATTTCCCTGCCAAGGCAAGAGCTGTGGAGGAGGAATGCGATCGCTGCCGTTTGTCAGCAGAAATACAAAAAAAAACAACAACAAAAAAACGCCGCAAAGCAAAATTTCATGAAACGTTGGAAAACTGTAGCATTAGCAGAAACAAAAGATCTGCAGCTCGGATTGGGATCTTTGTCATTAAAGACGATCCAAAACACGGCACTGGCCTTGGTAGACGTGTCTTCCACCCTGGTGTGTTTATGTAAAGAACTGTATTACTTTATGTGGGATATGTAGAAAACTTAAAAGATATTTTCATACTAGCCCAACGAGTGGATGAGCTTGAAGAAGCTCTGAAGAAAAAAGATGAGGAGATGAAGCAGATGGAGGAGAGATACAAGAAATATCTTGAAAAAGCAAAAAGTGTGAGTGAAGTTTCAGTAAAAAACAAACAAAAAAAAACCTCTCTATATTTCTATATTTACACACATCAAGCATCTGTAGTCAGACGCATCCAGACACGGGTTCTGATTTTTACTCTGGCAGGTTATTCGGACGCTGGACCCGAAACAGAACCAAGGCTCTGGTCCGGAGGTTCAGGCCCTGAAAAACCAGCTCCAGGAGAAGGAGAGGATGTTGCTCTCGCTGGAGGTAAATGAGCCCCACACTTAGGGGTTGCATAAACACCATCTATTAAATGACTTTATTAAATGTAACTTTAACGTTTTGTGCTCATTTTAAACAGAAAGAAATGGACAAGACAAAAAGCCAGCGGGATCACGAGGAGAAGCTGATTGTTTCAGCCTGGTACAACATGGTAAGAGATGATTTGTTGTTGATTTGGCTGTACATCATGAAAACATGATGTAGGCCATCAATTATGAAACAAGAAATAAACGTTACATTTTGTCAAACGCCGTCAAGCAAATGTTGATCAGGGTTTCAGTTTCTGGAAATCAAAGGCGACTCTAAACAGGCGAGCTTTTAGTCTTGAGTTAAAGGAAGTCGGGGTTTCAGCTGTTTCGCAGTTTTCTGGAAGATCGTTATTTTTTTTTTATGTTGCGTTATAGTGGCACAGACCTTCATTTTAAAAAAAAAAAAATAATTTAATGAAAAGTAACAGTAGAGGGCAGCAAAACTGTGCTTTAGAAACACTGTAGAAACAGGTGAGCACTGGTGTGAGAGCATGAGCTTCGTTTAAGGGAGGTATCCTGTCTACTCTATGTCTGAGTCCACATTTATGTGATGCTATAACACATTATTAAATGAGCTCCATTATTCTATTAAAACTTAATTGCTGTTTCTTGTGTGTCGATTACCTTTTTTCACACTTTGTCATGTTCCTACCACGACCTTCGGTGTAATTTTGTAGGGATTTAATATGCCTGTGTTTACTCACTCTTTGTGAAACAGCTGAAGCTCTGATTACATTTAGGACGGTGCATTAAGCGTGATGTTTTCTACCGTACCTATGTAATGCAATTGAAGATTGCTCTTGTAACGTGCCAAAATGTGCATCAACCTCAAAGAGCCCAGTTTGGCCCTCCCGGAATCAAGTCGTCTTCTCTGTGTCCTACCAGGGCATGTCTCTGCAGAAGAAGGCGGCTGAAGACCGACTCGCCAACACCGGCTCCGGTCAGTCCTTCCTGGCCAGACAGAGACAAGCCACCAGCACGCGTCGCTCCTACCCAGGCCACGTCCAGCCAGCTACCGCAAGGTAGACGGCCCCAGGGCACTAAAAGATAGCTGCTTTTTAAATTCTCTGAACTTGCTTTTAACTGGCAAAACCTGCTTTGAGGCACAACATTTCCATTTATCTCTAATGGATTCTGCCTTTGATTTTCTGTTTTGTTTTTTTTGTTTTTTTCTTTTTTTTCTTCTCAATCAGATCCATGAGGTAAAGATTCAGGGGGCAAGGATGCCCAAATCTTGCACCCTTTTTTTTTTTTTTTCTTCTTCTTCCTGCCAAATCCTATTTTGACCTTGACTCCCATCCAGTGATGCAAGACTTCTACCTTATTTGAACCCCAGCATATTTTTTTTTTTTTTAATATTGACTAATCACTCCAAATGCCCTTCCAACTGACCTCTTGTTGAACTTGTTCTGTGTGACAAACTTTACCACCCAGGCGCTCAGAAGACTTGCATCTTTTTGAGAAGTTATTGTCTTTTTTTGATGAGGAGGAACAGATCTACCTTTTCATGCAGTATTTATGCACTTCTCTACCTGTGACACATCCATAGGAGAACGACTGTCCCTGCTGAAGATCGAATGTTTAAATTTTATTTCATATACCTTTTTACGGTTGGTCTTAATTAACTGATTCATAGGAAGATTTGTGTTGTCGTCTTTATTTTTCCTGTAAATGTCTGAATACGGTGACAGTGGTTTTTAGAATAACTAGGTTACAGTTGGGAAAACGAAAGCAATAATTGGGAAATTTTCTCTCTCCTTTGTTTTTTTCCCCCCCCCCAAAAAAAAGGAATCAACTTCGACAGGGATTGAAGTTGCTTCAGAAGGTGCAATCCATAATTAGCTACAGTGCTGGTCAGAAGTTTTATCGTCAACAAGAATTTATTTCATTTGCGGCTCCTAGTTTGTTTGAAATGTTTTTTTTTTTTTTTTTTTTTTTTTGCAAGGAGTATTTAAAAAGCAAAAAAAAAAAAAGTTATTTTTTCAACAGGAGTGCACAACTTTGAATATTTTCTCCTATTCATATCAGGTTAAAATATAGTTGGATATATTTGAGAATTGGACAAATTGCAGTGGTGCAGCTAACAGACATTTTTCATGAAGCTTTTCCTTCTTCATTAAACGATGCCCCCACCACACATGAGCGTCAGCCTTTCAGCTGCTACAAATGCAGTTTAAATGTAGTCATGGGAGTTAGACCGCTTTCAGGTGTCCAAGTAAACAAGTAATAGAAAAGCCAAATGCTTGAAATTACTAAATATCGCAGTTTTTTTTTTTTTACAGTCACAATGTTGCACACATGTACTGTGGTAATGATTGCGATTATAGTCTCTCATCATCCCGACAATGAACACAATGCAAACTTCTGACCTGCACTGTAGATTGTTAAATGTTCATGCGCGTCAGGATTTAGCTTGTTTAGTAAATAACAGGATTCTGGAGCAGAACCACTGGATCTGGTTTTTAGCTTTACCAGCACGTTCTGGTTTGTGTTGATCAGCGTTTGTGCGCCATAGATTTTTATTTATTTATTTTTTTAACCGTCTGTTCCTCTCAACGAACCATTTTGCAGGACTTTCCTCCAAGATAAAATACTTCACGGGCTTTTAGCCGTGCCATTGTTTGAGAGTTTACGTTGTTCTGACGTACAATTGAAGAAGATGATCTATGTTTCCATATAGGGATTTTAGATGCTCCTTTACCAGGAGTTGCACAAATTGTTGTGCGTCGGTTTTCTTTTCCATCCTCTCTTTAACCCAAATGTTTCACGACCGACAGGTCTTCTATTAACTTTAATTTTAAACTGACACGGTGCTTTTTTTTTATGCTAACCAGCTCTCCCATCTGACCGTAACATCTCTCTCTCCTCCTCCTACAGCAATATCACTGCATGACTGGTATGCCAGTGAGCTGCTCCTAGCCTTGTGCGGCCGGGCCCGGCCTTGTCCCCCCCCTTGTGGCCTGCCCTGACCCCCGGGGCCAGGCCAGGCTGAGGCACCTGATGCATGAACCTGCCTGTCTACTGTTTGCATGACCCCTCTGTGTTATTTCAAGCCTTCAAAATAACCCGTCCCTCTGTCGGCCGCAGCAGCATGAGCACTAACAACCCTTCCGCATTGTTATGCATCATAATCTCCAGGCAAGTCTGATGAGGGGTTTTGGGATCTGAAAAGAAAAGAAAATTCTCCGATTAATTCCCTTTTCCACCTTCCGTGCCAGTAGTCTGATGTTAACGTCCCTGTCCTCCCTCCTTCATACCTTCTAACGCCGCTGTTACACCTGATGGACACATCCACTCGTGCTTTCACGTGCAGCAAGTCTGTTACAACGCAGTGCGCGTTTCAAACATCCCAGAAGGGATCAGAGTACAGCAGTATTTCCTGTCCGTCAACCTGTTACGTATTTATGAAGATCTCGTCTCCGGCTGGCCGCGTCAGGACACCTCAGTGACATATTCCCACAGATCCATTTCAGTCTACATGACTGAGAGGATTAACGTGTTATTTAAGAGGTGGAGCCTGTAAATTGGTCTTGTTTAGAGGTTTCTCCCCTTAAAACTGTCACGTCACGTCTGACCTCTTATTTGGTGGGTTGGATCTTAAAGATGTTTTTTTTTTTTTTTTTTTTTTTTATTTTTTTAATTTAATCCAGGTGTTGATTACAGCAAGTTTTGAACAAAGTAAAAAGCTTTCGGGGACTTTCCTCCGTTGCCTTGTTTTTATGAGCTGACGATGGTAAATAACGTGTGCTATATTAACAGTCTTGTTGCAGATTAGTTTTTATTTGAGTTAAAAGTCTTCATTAAGCCTAATCATGCCTTTTTCCAGCCTTTTTTCTGCATTAGAATTTTTTTTTTCATCTTATTTAATTTATTTTTTGAGTGTAGGCCACAATTTAAGAGATGATTGTAATTATACCAAAAAGCTTATCTCTTTTTTTTCTTTTCTTTTTTTTTAATGATTCACAATTTTAAATTACGATTTTAGATTAAAAGTGCATTTGCATTCATAAGCCAATGGGCAGTCTGTTCACTTTAGGCCCTAACGTAAACTTCATGTTTGGGCTGAGTAGTAATCAGTGAAATGATGTGGAAAAGGCAGAAAAAGGTTGCATTAATTATAACTTCCTTTAAGGAAAACGTCAAACCAGCAAAAAGCAGGAGAATCTTCCTTTCATGTCTGGTTTTCAGTGTTATCAGAGCTAAAAGTCTTGCAGTATCAAAGTATGTTGGCATTTTTCTTTTTGATCATGGAATAAGATGCAGTTCATTCACTTTTAGGCAAATTTAGATGTTTCTGTCAGCTATATGTATGGATGTTTTCCAGTTTTGTTTTAGTAAATGTTTTATTTAACTTTTATTTTCCAGAGTTCATTAAAAATCTTATCCGGAATCTGACAGCATGGACGAGTTGCAAGTGTTAAACCCTAGAAGTGAGAGATGGTTTAACCCTCCAGCTGAGTGCCTTTTGTTTCTGATACTATCAAAAGGTTTTTAGGTTTGGATTCAATATGTTACAAGGTTTATTGAGTATTTACGGCAAACAAAAACCTCAGTTTGTCTTTATCTTGACAATAACTTGACTCTAAGTTTGGCTTAATGAGAGCTTTTCTCCCCAACGTTTTACTCATACTTCTTCTGTTGTGTAATCTTAGTTTAATCCATGCAATGCATTTTATCCTAATGGCTTGTTTATTTATTTATTTTTTTATTTTTTTGCTTGTACAGCAGTGTTAACATTTGTTTTTAATTAGTAGTATTATTATATTACCATTTATACTGTTACAATGGATGTAATTGAGATCAAAATACTGTTAAATAACATATGCAACTAAAGGAGAAGGTTTCTAGTATTAAAGCATTTAACTCCAAGTATAAACTGGAGAACCGTGAAAGTTACGGTTCTTGTACCGACAGTGTTTACAGGGAAAAAAAAAATCTTTTTTTTTCTTTTTTTTTTTTTTAAACACTGCACAAATAAATTAGCATTTGTAATTGAGTACGATGCTTTTCTCTGGAACAAAAGAAGCAAAAACACATTTTAATTCTCGCATCAGCAAGATTTTCAGTACTCGCACAAATGACCTTTTAAGTCTATGGAGATGAGATTGACATGATGGTAGCAAAAATGATCATCAAAAAAAACTTTTTTTAAAAAAAAAAAAAAAAAAGTGTTGAAATAACATTTAAGAACATGGACGACTAAAGTTTCCAGGATTTCTTTTTTTTTTTTTTTTATTAAATCATTTTTTTGAAAATTATGCGACATTAACCATTTTTCCTGTTTGTACTTCAAGTAACGTTACACAGACCTCTTTTAACCGTCCGTCCTCAGAACATGGTTTGTATATATGGCAACGCATCCACATTGTGGTTGACCTGTTGACATTTATGTCAGGGATTTGGGGAAACCTGCGTTATGATCATCTAAAAACAAACAAAAAAAAAAAGCAGGCTTTCTGGTTTCCTCCTTGCATCCCTATCAAACCACCCACTGTAATTTTGTGTTCGCATACCTCCATTACCTGATTACAGGTGGGGCCAATTTGTTGTCCTTTTCAATGCACATTTCTTGACAATAAAGAAGGGGTTAAACACCCGGTGTGCTGCTCTAACGAAAACTTTGAAACTCACTTCAGTGTTCTAAGAACAAATATTTTATGCTGACACCCATTGAAAACTATCATGTCTGTGTATTTTTACATGCCTGGTATTCCCTAGAGTTTTTTTTTTTTTTTTTAATTTGGCTATTAATATCACTAAGGCTCTGTCAAATGAATTAGAAAGCTGATATGAACAACAAAAGGGGCCTTGTCTGGTTATTGTTCCATGAATCGCAAAGTAGCAAATAATGTCCTATTTGCCAATGTTTTATATTGCTTGTATAGAAAGACAAATTGTACATAACATTTGTGGTCGTGTCGTAGGGCTGTTTTAAAAATATATGCGATTGAGGAAATCAGGAGATCATGTCTAGTTAGGTGGATTTCATCTCACATTTATCCAACAAGGATTAATTACGCTGATGAAAATGTGCTTCCGACACCATGAAACCTTGAAACCACGTTGTAAATAAAACTTGTATAAAAACAAGTTGTTTTGTCCCATTTATTCAGATTTTTTTTCCACACAGTACATTGTTTGATCAAAATATATGAGCAGTAATACTTGATAATGACATGCAACTATTGTACGTAAAACTAACACCCTTAGATGCCAAAAACTACAAAATACAACTTGGTGTTTGTAAAATAAAGCAGCATTTGCAAACGGAGTGTTTTAAAACCGGCCCGTCGTTCTTGAACGTATCCTTAGCTCAGAATTGGAGCAGGGCTGTACAGTGTTATATTTACCCTACCTTTCCCAACCTAGCATTCCATCTCTAATCTTACAAATAATTCTGCTGTCTTATGTTATTCTCTGTAAGCAATGGAAAAAATCTGTTAGTCCAGACTTTGAACTGCACCTCTTCTCTGCTGACACGAACTGGGCTCAGCCTGGGAAATGGAGCCTGAACGCCCCTCGAGGCTGCGGACACCGGAACATCCCTGTATCAGTGTCCTATTCTTCATTCCGGAGCGCTCCTTTTTCTCCTCTCTCTCTAACCTCAGCCTCTGGGTGCTTCTTGACACAAGTCCCAGCAGAGGTCCATAGTCAATATAAATACACTTCTCTGGTTACCCCCCCCAACTTCTGTCTTTGACATTCTAAGTGAAAAGAGGGGAACTGATGGTTACAGTTCAATGTGGCAATATCAAATTCCATTTCAGGATGAAATCAAAGACTTTTAATGTGGTTAGGTCTGAAAAACACAGAGATGTTCTTGTTCTCTGGAAGTACATTTAGTGTTTAATCAAATGTATGTCTCTTGCTCTCTGCTAATACAACAGTCATACAGGTACCGGTCAAAAGTGAAAAATTATACCTCAAATACTTTTCAATTGCAGTTCTTCCCCCAATTTTAAGTCCAGGTTTTTGTTTTGCTGAGAATTGTTTGTTTTTGTGGTAGCCACTTGACCTGTGGCTCATTCAAGCATAAAAAGGCTCCAAGCCTCAAAAGATGAGCCAAAATGATGTCAACACGTAACAGAAAACCAATTGTAAATGGGATCTTTTTACCTTTTCTACCCATTTCTGTCATTGAACCTTTGAAAAATATCACAACATGGACTGACAAGTAATATTTTGCAACAAAAGTTTCATTCCCATGGATTGATTAGCTGAGAAAAACTGCTATACAGCATTGTGAAATGTGTTTGCTTCTTTATGGACTTTTAAAAATTCTTATATTGTTTGTGTAATGGATTCAAAAACATAAAAAAAAAGGTGCAGTTATTTTTTTAAGGTATATGGCAGACAACATGAAGCAGGCAAACATAGGAGATCGGGTAAAGAACAGCAACTCATTACCCGATTTAAGAAATTCAAGAGCAGCTTTGAAACAAACTATTCACATCTATATATCTGGACGGGGATACAAACCCATTGTTTAGACACTGGGTTCTAGTGAATCACAGTGAGAACCAATAACTGAAAATGAACAAACATCAAACACTACTGAACCTTCCCAGGGGTGACTAGCCTAACAAAATCCCTTTGAGAGTTCAAAAACAACATATAATTCACTGCAGGCCTCTTTTGGCTCTGTTAAGATTAGTGTTTGTTCTTCAGAAAGAGGCTTTGCAAAAACTGCATCCCTGGGAGTTTTCCCAAGTTGAAAACTACTGCTGAGCAAGGAGAGCAGAAACACAAACGCCGGTTTCAAAACTGCCTAAAAACATCAGTATGACTTTTAGGAGATTATTCCAAATCTTATATTATTTTAAATGATTTTCATTCACCCTAAAACTTTGTTTCTGATGGGATATGAAACAGTCTTCTCATGTCATAAAACAAAGGAGCCTCAACTTTGACAAAAAAGTATTTTTATTTGCAGCTTAATTAAAAAATACATCTTAAAAAACAGGATGGGTGCTTTCGTTTTTTATAGCAATACATTCAGCTTTTCCTTTAAAAGTGGAAGACATCTGTCAATGTGAGCACTGGAAAGTTTTGTTTTGTTTGTTTGTTTAGAACCATTATTCTTAACGTTGTAAAAGAAAGAATATCGTCTTAAAAACCAAAATAAAAGAAAACGAAACTCATCTGTCCCAGATGTGTGCTGTTTTTTTTTTGTTTATTTTTTTTTTTTTTTTCTTTTGCTTTGTCTGACTTTTTCCTCTACATTGAAATAATCATGGAAACATTCCACTGAGAATAACATCCTTCTGTGCCAGACTTGTCATCTCTCTAATGAAGGAACCTTTTATTATTTCTTCATTTCTAAGTGTTTGGTGAACAACTTGGACTTTACGACATTTTCGGTTTACAGGTACGGCCTTCAAGTGGGCATTTTCTAAGACAAACAGACGAACTGGCGCTCCGATAGAGGCCTCAACCCGACATGCGATTCTGACATATTCCTGAACACTAAACATATCAACGAACACCTGCTGATGCTGTAGGCTAGAAGGCAACACCTCCGTTTTTAAATGATCATTTTTGGCATGACTTCAAGTCAGAATTACACTCAGCAGTCCAAGTGTTTAGTCTGTTGACGCGATTACAGATTGAAAGTGCTACAGACTGACTGTAGAGTCTACAGACTCCAGCTGAGCAAGTAGACAGCTTCTGTGTGTGGGCAGTTAACAGAAGACACAAGTTGGGATCTTTTAAAAAAGTTTTTATTTGCGTAAAGACATATCTGTGTTTTTCTTAGACTTTTACCACCTCTGACAAAGTGATAGATTTCAAGACTAGCATATTAACTCCATAAAATGTCACAATCCTTTGAGGTTTTAGTGGTTCTTACTTGGAAGACAAAACAATTTGTCCAGAGCTTTTTCTGTGAGGCACTCTACTGTACAGAAGTCACATTTTTTTCTTGTTCGCTGAAAATAAAATGTAGCTCAAGCTCAAATCAGCATGTAGTTCAAAAATAGCACTTAGGTCACGGAGGCAAAAGATTCACAAACCAATTCAAGACTCAGCACAGAGGAGGATTTGCTTTCCAAACAGACTTAAAGCTCCACTCGTGTGAAAATATGTGCGCACCCTGCAATAGCCTGTGTTCAACATATTTAGACATACAGTGGAGTTCAACAATGCACTGCAGCTATGAGGGGTGCAGGGATGAAGTGGCCGAGGGAAAATGACTAGTAGACATTTGAACTCTGGATTAAGAGAAAAAAAAATGGATTACCCAAGATAGGCAAGAAATCAAAATTTTCAAACTCTTTTTGCTGAAGAAGAGAGATTTAACTTTTTTTTTTTTTTTTTTAAAGAACGGATGTTATCAAATACTGGGGTTTCTGTCATAAATCTAGTCATGTTAATTTGAATTCATAAAACACACAAAAATGTTTTGTTATTTAATTAGAATCCATTATTATTAATGGTGTACCACACGCTTCACCATTATGGTACATTACGGTGTACCATAATGCTTTTCTTCATATGTAAAAAGCCAGATGTTGTGTGCCAGCAAAATGCTGCTAGGCACCTTCAACATGTGCTGATCATATTGCCTTCACTGTATTTTAAATTGTTCCTTAGACAAAACATGGTAAGATATATTGTTTTTTTTTATGTACATTTAACATGTGCCAATTTGTTCAATTTAGGTTTGCGGGACATTTCCGCACTTCTGAGGGCGGACATACTAAAGGAGAAAATAGGAAACTGCTGTGTCCTTCCATTGCCATTTTTCATTTCGTCTAGTGTGTTACATTCAATTTTCCTATGAAGAGCAGATGGTCTCAAGAAACATGACACTTGGATGATAAAAAGGCAGAAAATTAGATTTGATTCGCTGTTATTTATTGCATCGTTTTTGTTTCATCTCCTTTTCCATGCGATTTCAGTTTATTCCTTCTTTTAAAAAAAGAGGGGTTTTTTAAAACTCTGTAAATAAATTAAGATGAACACATCTCTGTCATTTCTCCCTCATACAAGAAAAAAAGGGGGCAAGCAGAGACCTGATCATTGCTGGACCAGAGGGATGAATGTTGAGGTGATCTCCTGTGTGTTTGAGCCACAGTGAGTCACGCCGGGCAGTGTGACCACGAAATCAAAGAGCTGTTTGAACAGCTGCATTCCTTCACACCTCTTCATCCTTTTCCCCTGTCTGCTCTGTAAAGCTAACTCTGGCTATCGCTGTGACCCCCCTCCGCCCCTCCAGACTCTGTCATTGTGGCTGAAGCTTAATTTAAAATAAAACAAAGACATGAAAAAGTGAGTTAATTTGTTCTTTGTCCACGGCCAGGTGAGAGCAAAAATTAAACTGAGAAATTTGAAAGAAGCTTCATAGGAGCAACTGCTGCTGATTAATGGGCTCATGACTACTTGAGTGAGTCATTATTTAGCTTCCGTTTCTTTTCATATTTCCAACTCAGCCGCCTGCATTGCTTGGCCGTCAAAGTCTGCCAGTGACAAGCATGGAAATTCCAGCTGTTTCGAAAAACAACAGCAGTGAAAGTCTGCATATTGTTTACTGAACATGCAGTGACGATAATATGAAATTGCAAATCTAACAAAAAACCTATTTCATATATGCCTGCGTGCATGGCGGGTTGCTGGTTTGTCCACGATAGCCATCAGTCAGTTTAGAATAAATATTTGAAGATTTTGAGGACCAGTGTGAATCTTTGTTAAAATCAATTATTTGAAAAACGTAGTATGTTTAAAGTGTAGTTTAAAAAAATAAAATAAAATAAAAAATACCATATGCATTTTATCAGTATTAGTATGCCACCTGTGATATATTTTCTGTACAGTGAAGTTTTTTTGCAGAACAATTTTTAGTTTCTATGCGTATATTCGACTCCTCACAGTTTTCAATAAACTCACTCCTTGATTGTGTTGATGTTTTTATGCAGAGCTACTGTATCTGATAAAGTGTTTGTATAGGTTAACACTAGCATTGCTTACTCTGTGTTTTATGACTCATTTGATTATTTGGTTTGTAACAAATTTCAACACAATTCCAGTTAATAATATACAGTCAAACTTTTACGACTTTATAAACTTTTGATCAAACTTTGGTTCAGCTGCTT